CTCGCCTCACTCTTCTTGTCTGTCTCGCCTCACTCTTCTTGTCAGTCTCGCCTCACTCTTCTTGTCAGTCTCACCTCACTCTTCTTTTCTGTCTCACCTCACTCTTCTTGTCTGTCTCACCTCACTCTTCTTGTCTGTCTCACCTCAATCGTCTTGTCTGTCTCACCTCACTCTTCTTGTCTGTCTCTCCTCACTCTTCTCGTCTGTCTCACTCACTCTTCTCGTCTGTCTCTCCTCACCCTTCTTGTCAGTCTCACCTCACTCTTCTCGTCTGTCTCACCTCACTCTTCTCGTCTGTCTCTCCTCACTCTTCTCGTCTGTCTCACCTCACTCTTCTCGTCGCATTGAGCATCCGCGTTCAGTTTTTAATTGTAGTGTCTGTTCTTTTACTGAACTAAATGATTTTTATTTCTATAAAAAATCAAAACGACGGTGGGGGTCGGTGACGCGGTGGGCAAGTGACGTAACCGGTGTTGCGGCTTAACACCGGTATCACCGTCAACACCGTCTATCGCGGCAAGCCTATAGTCAAACAGTTATTTTTTTTATTGAAACGGTTAATTGAAACTTTAGACAAAATATTTAAAAAAGTTTGCGTATATGTTTTATGTTTTGTATCATATTTGATTAATCAGGCTTTTATGGCTCATATAGTCATATAGAGACTCAGACTGAGCAAAAATATGCAATTTGGTGCTGATATTTATATGGACAAAAAGTGATAAAATTCTGCTGCTTGTGATGTAAATCAGTGAGATCTTTATAACAGTAGAGCAGATCCTGATATAAAATGATCTAAACATCAGTCGTCGCTCTATATCTCCAGTACTCTGTCTCAGTAAGATGAGATTGACATGCTCCAAACATATAATGCAGTGATTGAGAGCTGAAGAAATAAAGGCTCCTCAGAAGATGTGAGATGTTCTGGAGGCTTGTGAAGATCATTCCTCCGCTGAGGAACAGTGAAAGTAAAGCTTCTGGAAACAAACGCTCCTCAAAAGATCCTGAGGATCAGATTTGAGACTCTAAAACATGATTGATGGAGAATCAAGTAAAGCTGAGCTGCTTCAGTCCAGTAAGTGTTCATCTGGAGATATTACTGCAGTAATTCTGATGCTTACTTGATCAAAATCAGTCAAGATTTGACACGAGAAGCTCGAGCTGAAGCTGGACGTTTCACAATTACACTAAAAGAGCTTTGACTGGATACAAAACTGTAAACTATCAATCAGACGACAGAAGGTGTGGAGTGGAATGTGTGACAGGTTTTTCAGCAAAGAAATTAGCTTATCAAATATGATACAGTAGCTTTTTAGGGTTGCAAAACTAACCTTTTTATTTCTTCTAGTGGGATCTGCTATTAGTAATGAATTCTGGGCAAACTAACGAGCAGTGTTTGTGTGGTTCAGAGGCGTCTGGTGAAGTCTCTGGAGGACTTGTGCTCTCAGTACGATCTGACGGTGCGCAGCTCCACCGGTGACATCATACAGTTCATCTACGGCGGAGACGGACTCGACCCCGCGGCCATGGAGGGAAAAGACGAACCGCTAGAGTTCAGAAGAGTCCTCGACAACATCAGAGTACGTCAAAGATTATTCCCTGGTTAAGTGTTTGTTTAAACCCTGTTAGATGTTTATCATCCAAACACGTAGACCAGCGTGTTTATTAAATTATTTTTCACAAAGTATTAACCAGTATGCATGTCTGTATGATGCTTTGTACATAGAACAGATCAAATCCCCCCAAAAAAGTGACAAATCTTTTTATTTTTGTATTTTTTTGTGTGGTTCAGCTATTGCTCAATAATATATACTGTATATATAGATTGATATAGATGATATTAAAAAAATAGTTTTTTTTTCAGTTTTAAATATTTTAATCAAATATAATACTGTTTTAATTTAATAATAATAATATAAGAAATCATGTCTAAACAATTGAATTCATAAAACTTTAACAATTTATCATAATATGATCAAATTTAAGTGACTAAATTGTATTTTTTTATGGTTCAGCTATTCCTCGTGAAATATATAGATAGATGATTAAAAATATATATTTTTGTCCATTTTTGTTTCAATGGTTTAATCAAATATAGTACCGTTTTAATTTAATAATAAAAAAGCATGTCTAACCAATTAAATTAATAACATTTTAATATATGATTGCAATTTTAACAATAATAAATCTTTTATTTTTCACAAATTGTTTTTAATTTATTTGAATTCTTCGTTTCATGCTTTAATACAAATTTAGTATCAAAATGGTGGGCTTAATTCTTAAAACGTACAATTTAATCAATTAATAAAATAAAATGAAAGGTTAATTGTATAAATTAAAACATGGAAAAAATCTCTTGATGTTTAATCAATAAAATGTACATATATAAATTTCATATATAATATTATTATTATTAGTAGTAGTAGTAGTATTGATGATTAGTTCATCATAAAAATATTAATTAATATTAATAATAATTATTAACATTGTTGTTGTTGTGACTTTTTGCTATACAGATCGTGGTTTTTGGCTCATATTTTTACCATGTAGTTTTCTTCAGAGAAACTGAAGTCTAGTTCGTTCTGTTGTCATGCGGTTCTGCTGGTGTGAAACGAGAGACTTGCTGCCCACCTGTTACAATCACCGCTGCCTTATTTCGTCTCCATTCACATTCTGAAACATGATTAGCGCTTTCTGTGGGGTCTAATTGATTGAAATGATGCTGGAGGACGCTGGGATATAGAAACGCTCTCTGCGGGAACTTCTCTGAATCTGAGAGTTAAAGAGCGTGTTTATTCTTCTTTAACACTGATATCGTGTGTTTTCTCAGTCAGTGCACAGCTGTCCAGGTGAACCTGTGCTGAGCAGAAACGAGCTGATCTTAACCTCCGACTCCATCATGAAGAGAAAAGACTTCCTGTGCTGTAAAGACACGTTTCTGGAGGTGAGACAATGCTCTTTTGTCTACAGAGATTAGTCTCTTTCGTTCCAAACCCTTATGAGTTTATTTCTTCGGTGGAACACAAAAAGTAGATGTTTAGCTGAATGTTCACGCTGCTCTTTCCATACAGTGGCATCAGACAGTGAGCAGGGTCTGTCGAGCTCCCTTATTAAAAGCTACCGTTAAAGTAGTCTATATGATGATAATTCAAGTCTCCTGAAGTCATGATAATTTGTGTGAGGAACAGATTGCAACTGACTTGAGTATTTCTCAACCAGGGGCTGCAAGATGATTAAAATGAGACAAGCTTTCAAAATAATCTAAAACAGCTAAAAATGTAGATGTAAGCTTTTTTTTTTTTTTTTATTCTTTCCCTCATCAACTATGAATTTTATTTATGAACCAGGTTTCCCACAGCCTTGGAAAACTTGTATATATAAGGGAATTTTAAAAGTTTGCTTTCTAGACTTGGAAGAGTTATGGACAATTTTTATGATGAGTATTATCTATTTTGTATATTATGTTATATATTAACTATCATGGATGAATATTATATATTATTAATATAATATATAAAAATATTTGATTTGGAAGAAAGTGCTTAAATTGTAATTTGTGAGGTAATAATAATAATAATTATTATTATTTATATATTGTTATTATTTATTCTTTTATTATTTTTATTATAGCGCTCTTATTATTATTATTATAGCACTCTTATAGCACGCAAATTTAAAATAGTGACTTCTAGACCTGGAAAAGTCATCAAAATGTTTTATGATGAATGCAAATTTTTTTTTTTAGTTATGTCAAACTCTAAAGTGTTTTATTTGAAAGAAAGTGCTGAGAAATTGTAATTAGTGAGTAAAAATAGTAATAATAACCCCCCCCCAAAAAAATATTTTTAAAAAGTATAAACAGTGACGTACGTTCAGTTATTAAAACTTCAAAAAAATATGGGTTTTCATTATTTTAATTATTTACAATTATTTTATGTAATTTGTTTGAATATATTCGCTCTCCAATAGGGGTCTGAAAATGATTCAGTTCACGATTCATAGGTTTTGTGATTCTGCCTAACTACAAAAGAAATGAAGCAACACGAAGGTGAGAAAAAGATGACAGAATGCTCATTTGAACTCATTATCTCATGGTAATTAATGCATTTCCCTAGTTTAACATGATTAGTATGATCCACAGCTCTGATTTTACCCACATCCCGAGTGTATGAATTGACCACCAAACTCCACGGCTGAAGGAAATTTAACGATTTGTCAAACAATAGAAAAGTGATGAATGACAATCTGACGGAAGTTCACTCAAGACCAAAACATACAAAGAAAAAAACATTTCTTTTCTCATTTGATGCAGTTCAAGCTTCTTCACTCTTTGAATGCTCGGTTCATCAAGGATAACCCCCCCCCAAAAAAAATATTTTTAAAAAGTATAAACAGTGAAGTACGTTCAGTTATTAAAACTTCAAAAAAATATGGGGTTTCATTATTTTAATTATTTACAATTATTTTATGTAATTTGTTTGAATATATTCGCTCTCCAGTAGGGGTCTGAAAATGATTCAGTTCATGATTCATAGGTTTTGTGATTCTGCCTAACTACAAAAGAAATTAAGCAACATGAGGGTGAGAAAAAGATGACAGAATGCTCATTTGAACTCATTATCTCATGGTAATTAATGCATTTCCCTAGTTTAACATGATTAGTATGATCCACAGCTCTGATTTTACCCACATCCCGAGTGTATGAATTGACCACCAAACTCCACGGCTGAAGGAAATTTAACGATTTGTCAAACAATAGAAAAGTGATGAATGACAATCTGACGGAAGTTCACTCAAGACCAAAACATACAAAGAAAAAAACATTTCTTTTCTCATTTGATGCAGTTCAAGCTTCTTCACTCTTTGAATGCTCGGTTCATCAAGGCGCTTCTTTCGAAGTGTAGAACGCAATCGTCTCTCATAAAGAAACACGAGTGGTTTTATGGTGCTCACGAGAGGCAGCACTGATGCATTTAAACAACACGCGTCGAGAGGATGTGATGCATTGTGTCTAACAAATCTCTCACATAAAGCTCATTCCAAAAGGGATAAACTTCTGCCATCAAAGTCCATGCTGCATTTAAAACGTTTTAGTGTGGGTTATTTTTATTTAATGTGGTCAGTGTCTGTGTCTTTGGTTTGAAGGAGTTGACAGACACTGGCAGTGACAAGTACTTACAGGTACAGTACAGCCCGCATGACGTGTGTTTGAGTTGATTCATTTCAATATATGAGAGCCAGATGTGTGTTTAGTTCAGCATGAATTACAGTAGTAACCAGGGTTTTAACTTGTGCTGGTGTTGATCTACACACACTAATCCTGACGCACACTGGCAGTCAAACAGGTTTTCAGGTTTATGTGAATTTGTGTATTTATGCCTCATTCACTTTGTGACTCACTGCACCATTATAATATATAACTGGCTGAATGTCAGTGACAATTTTGGCTTATATTTCACCTTATATCAAAAGAGATTATTTTGCTGAAAGCAAATGAAGCGCATGTTTTTCTTTGTTTTGTTTTTTTGCACTATTTTCATGATAATTAAGCGTATTTCCCCCGAGGTATTTATTACTTACTGTGACTGTTCAGATATTTTCTCATTACTGTAATACATTAATGAAAATCATGTTGTCTGGAAATACTGTTACTTATTTATTATAAATCACTGTTATATTAATGTTATTTTATACTAATGTAGTATTTTTGAATATTTTGAATTTGCTTTCATTTTTATATTTTCAATTTTAGTTTATAAATTTTCTTATTTGCTTTTGGCAATTTAATAAAAAAAATAAAAAATAAAAAATAATAATAATAATTATTCCAGTTTAAGAAATTTTAGTACTTAAACTTTAGTTCTTAAACTTATTGTATTTATTAGTTTCTAAGGCAACAATTTTAATTATCATTTCTAATAAAGTGTGAACATTTTTAGTTTATCTATTTTTTTATTTTATTTTGTTTCTGCTTTATTTAATTTGGCAAAAACTATTTGTAATAGTTTTGGTTTTAGTTAGCAGTAACAACACTGGTAAAGATTAAAGTCTGTACAATAAATACTACATTATTTAGATATTTTAGGTATTTAAGAACTTAAATTTATTTATTTATTTATTGTGTGTTTTGTATTACAGTAATGAGATTTTTGATGCATCAAATCCTAATGGTCCTAAAAATAAGTTATTGATTTTGCTGCAGTTAATGAGCTCTGCAGTGCATTCTGGGTTCATTGTGTTCTTGTAAATGTTTCTGAATGCTTTAAAATCTGTTCAATTCCAGGAAATCAGAAAGTTCATCAAAACGGTTTCGGAGAAAATCAAAAAGACACGCGACAAGTATGGCATCAACGACAACGGAACGACAGAGGTGAGAGCTCAGCTTCGAGAGTGTTTATGCGCTTGTGTCTGACGACCTGTTTTCTCATTCATTCCAGCCTAAAGTTCTGTACCAGTTGGACAGAATCACTCCGACCCAGCTGGAGAAGTTTCTGGAAACCTGCAGGGACAAATATATGAGGTAACACAGTGGTACACGAGCTGTAATTGCACTTGTTCGGTTCAGTAGACTGATGCTGGTCTAATGAGCTGAGCGTAATCTGCTGCTGCGACGGGCAGAAAGAGCTGCAGCATTACTGACCACATCAGGCTCTTTCCAGTTGTATAACGCTTATGCAATGACTTCTAAGGCTAAAATGAGATCCTGAAATGATTTAACCGCTGTTGAGAGACAGAAATGGTTTTAACGTGATTTGTATGACGCTCAGGGCGCAGATGGAGCCGGGCTCTGCCGTCGGGGCGCTGTGTGCTCAGAGCATCGGGGAGCCGGGGACTCAGATGACCCTCAAGACGTTTCACTTCGCTGGAGTCGCTTCCATGAACATCACTCTGGGAGTCCCGAGAATCAAAGAGATCATCAATGCGTCCAAGAACATCAGGTGACTTCAGAAACCCTGGAAAACCTGGAAATGTCAGAATTGAATTGTTTTCAGGACTGGAAATTATAAGTAATGATTTTTAGAATTTTTTTTGGGTATAATTTTTTTTTATAACTTATTGTAAATTATTGTATTTATATATTTTGTTTTATGTCCATATCTCAAAAAATATGTAAATATTATTTTTATTTTATATACGACTTGTTTTTTCTTAACTATTCTTTATTTCTTCACTGTTCTTTGATATACCTTTGAGTACCATAAAAATACTATGGTACATAAGTATGATAATGTGCTATGGTATTACCATTTGATATACCACTGTATTATTAAACACTGCAGGATTTTTTTTATAATAAACCATAACCATAAGCCAAACTCAAATCCTTTAAACTGACCTGTCAGAGAAAAATCCTGAAACAACCTTCACAAAATAGCAATACAAAATTTCTAGACTTATTGATGTACAGGTGACTGTAAGTGCAGCGGCTGACACAAGTGCAATTGATTCATGAGAGTTTGATCTCGACCCCTGAAGGAGGAAAACTCATTTGTCAATCAGCGGCAGAAGCCTTGAGCCGAGCACCGCGGGCGGTGGGTGAATGACCACCTGTCACCTGGGAGTCCCGAGAATCAAAGAGATCATCAATGCGTCCAAGAACATCAGGTGACTTCAGAAACCCTGGAAAACCTGGAAATGTCAGGGAATTGTGTTTTCCAGGCTTGGAAAAGTCATAATATTTTGTAGTGAATCTTTTTTTTTTTTTTATCATTTATAATAATATAAATTTAAATATGAATAATTTATGATTATAAATAAAAATGATAAATTATTTGTTGTATTTTAATTTTAATTTTAGTTTGAGTAATTTTTTGTACTTTTGGCCTTTTAACAAATTTTTAAATGTTTGAAATAAGCATTTTTTTTATTTCAGCTTTCGTTATATATTTCGTTATATTTATATATATATATATATATATATATATATATAAATAAATTGAATTGTTTTCAGGACTGGAAATTATAAGTAATGATTTTTAGAAATTTTTTTGGGTATAATTTTTTTTTATAACTTATTGTAAATTATTGTATTTATATATTTTGTTTTATGTCCATATCTCAAAAAATATGTAAATATTATTTTTATTTTATATACGACTTGTTTTTTCTTAACTATTCTTTATTTCTTCACTGTTCTTTGATATACCTTTGAGTACCATAAAAATACTATGGTACATAAGTATGATAATGTGCTATGGTATTACCATTTGATATACCACTGTATTATTAAACACTGCAGGATTTTTTTTATAATAAACCATAACCATAAGCCAAACTCAAATCCTTTAAACTGACCTGTCAGAGAAAAATCCTGAAACAACCTTCACAAAATAGCAATACAAAATTTCTAGACTTATTGATGTACAGGTGACTGTAAGTGCAGCGGCTGACACAAGTGCAATTGATTCATGAGAGTTTGATCTCGACCCCTGAAGGAGGAAAACTCATTTGTCAATCAGCGGCAGAAGCCTTGAGCCGAGCACCGCGGGCGGTGGGTGAATGACCACCTGTCACCTCAGTTGGTTGGAGGAGTGTTAGCGTGCAGCTCCAGCATGATTGCTGCTGTTGACGCTTCACTGATGATTAATGGCTGCAGTAACCCCAGTTCTTATTCCTAATGAGTCTCTCTGTGTCTCAGTACGCCCATCATAAGTGCCAACCTGGATACCGTTGATGACCCAGACTTCGCTCGGCTGGTGAAAGGACGCATTGAGAAAACTCTACTGGGAGAGGTACACTGAGTTTGACATCTGCTGATTATTAATACTGCATTAGTATTGCTATTGCTCATGCTTCCTGTTTGGAGTGAAATTAAAATGCACCTGATTGAATTAGACGTGCATTGAATTAGTAACATCCTGGCAATCACCCAGAACACCATGCCAACTGCAGTGAAATGCACTAAATATACTCAAAACACCTTAGCAACCCCATAGCAATGCCCTGGCAACCCCCCAAAACATGCCAACTGCAAAGCAATGCATTAAAAACACTCGGAACACCTTAGCAACACCCTGGCAACCTGCCAGAACACCATGCCAACTGCAGTGAAATGCATTAAAGTACTCCGAACGCCTTAGCAAGCCCATAGTAACAACCCAGCAACCACCCAAAACATGCCCGCTGCAGAGCAATGCATTAAAAACACTCAAAACACCTTGACAACCCCATAGCAACATCTTGGCAACCACACAAAACATGCCAACTGCAAAGCAATGCATTAAAAACACTCCGAGCACCTTATCAACACCCTGGCAACCATCCAGAATACCATGCCAACTGCAGAGCAATGCATTAATGTACTCAGAACGCCTTAGCAACCCCATAGCAACGCCCTGGCAACCACCCAGAACACCATGTCAAACACGTACTGTAACAATCCATTAAAAACACTCAGAACACCTTAGCAACATCTTGGCAACCACCCGAAACATGCCCGCTGCAGAGCAATGCATTAAAAACACTCAGAACACCTTAGCAACACCCTGGCAACCACCCAGAACACCAAGCCAACTGCAGAGCAATGCATTAATGCACTCAGAACACCTTTTATACTGTAGCAATCAATTAAATATACTCAGAACATCTTGGCAATCCCATGGAAACCACCCAAAACATCATGCCAAACACATAGCCATGCATTAAAAACACTCAGAACACCTTAGCAACACCCTGGCAACCATCTAGAATGCACTAGGGATCATGGGGTTAGATTTTTTTTTTTTTGCATGAAAAAACACCACTTTAAATTTAAAAAATGCATTTGTTTTTGAAATGCAGTGCAGTGTGGGAAAATGATCACCTCTCTGGCCTGTAGCATGTGAGATTGTCCTGCATTTATATTCAGTATGCGCATGATTGAAATGGGTGTCAGATTGTTTGTAATGGAGGGATGCAGAATAACCTTTGATCTGAGTGAGTCCGAATTGAAAAAGCCTTTCATTCATGTTTTATGTCATAGAAACTGTTCCAAACATTTCAGAGGAATATAAAGTCATTATAAGGCTTTCAGAAAAAGTAGGATACCTCTTACTTTCTTTACTGTTGTTTGCTTTCATATTAATCAGTGAATCGATTGATAGTTTCTGTCAGATTTCCGAGTACATCGAGGAGGTTTTCCTGCCTGATGATTGTTTCATCCTGGTGAAGCTGTCGCTAGAGAGGATTCGTCTTCTGAGGTTGGAGGTAACGGCAGATTGATCATAATTACCTGTTAATGACAGACTGGAGCTGAAAATGATTCCTCCAGCATCAGTGTTTTTATCGGTCTCTGGATTGTCACTTAGTTATATGGATGGTTCTGCCTTTGTCATTACTGTATTTCTCTCCATCTCTCAGCAGCTGATGCAGCTGTTCCTGTTGAGTGATTTTAAATGATGGATGTTCTTGACACAGTGATGATCCTCCTCTGCAGAGGTTTATAGAGTCGTATTGTTGTTTTGTTCTGTTCAGGTGAACGCAGAGACGGTGCGTTACGCCATCTGTACGTCAAAGCTGCGGGTGAAGCCGGGCGATATCGCGGTTCACGGAGAGGCCGTGGTCTGTGTGACTCCGAGAGAAAACAGCAAGAGCTCCATGTATTACGTCCTGCAGTCGCTCAAACAGGAGCTTCCTAAGGTCAGTCCTGACACCGTGTTGGACTTTCTGTACGCTGTCATAATAGTCATAAGCTTCCCAATAGCTGAAGCTGAAATCTATAGAACAGAGTGACCAATATAATCTTTATGTAATGCAATTTTAATTTGCAAATCAGATTCTCTGTTTTGTTGAATAGAACCTGGAGACACTTTGTGAAACATTCAAAAGATCACCTAAACAGCATATAGAAAGAATAAACACAAATTTCTAGCTTTTATTTTGTTATATTAAGTTATAGCAATTAATAAAGTTTAACAGTGGAGAACGATTTTTTTTATACAGTATTTTGTTAATTTAGAAATATATTGTTCATTGTTAATTCATATTTGTTCAAAATTCATTTATGTTCATTTATGCCAATTGAAATGCTAAAAATGTATTAGTACATGAGGAATAGTGTTGGTATTGTAAACTAAAACTAAGTAGTAAGTAAAGCTGAAAAAACTATAAATATTAGTTTTAACTTTGAAAAAAATTGATTTAAAGTTAAAGTACTTAAATTAGTAAAACTGAAATATATTACAGTATTAAAGTAAAACTGAAATATATTAATTATTAAATACCATATTAGTATATAAATGATACTAAAATAACACTTAATATGGAAATAAACATTTTATTTCAATCTAAGTTTGTTATAGTTGAAGCATTAAAATTACTTAAACTAAAACGGTCAGTTTAAAGCTAAACTAGTAACAATGACACTTAATATGGAAATTAACAAACCTAGATTGAAATAAAATGTTTAAGTACTAAAATATACTAAAACTAAAACTGAAGTGAATTTAAAGCTAAATAACTATTAGAAAATGACAGTATTGAAATGAGCAAACCTAGATCGCTATAAATGCTCTACATGCATTGTTAGTTCTTAAAGGGTGGGGTAAGTGATTTCTGGTAGCCAATGTTGATATTTCAAATCACCAAAACAAACACGCCCCTATTTTGATAGCTCCGCCCCACACATACATAGCTGAAGGGAACGACAATATGATTACAGATGAACAAACAAGCGAACATGACACGAGCATATTCAAGCAAAAGCCAGCATATATTAGTTCTGTGAAACAAAGCAAAACCAGTGTTACTCACCTATAGAGAAGAAACAAAGCAACCTCGGCCTTCCCGCTCCTTGAGTTCTCTCCAGTGCTGGAAAGCTGATCCGATATTTACACGGGTCCTACTTCTTGCCTTATCGTTAGCTGCCTTTTGTTCCGCAGAAGTTTTCCTCTTTTGTTTTTTATCCGCCATCTCTATCTTTCTGTCGTCGCTCAGCTCGGCTAATATCCTTCCTGCGCACTGAGCGCTCTCTCTCTCTCCACATCATGAGTAGACACGCCCCTTACTGCTGATTGGCTACAAGTTTGTTTTGGTACTCGGCCCGACTCAGTTTTCTAAAACGTTTTTGAAAAAATACATACCCCACCTTTAACTAATGTAGTTAAATAATGTTTACGGATTGAACCATGTTGTAAAATGCAACCCATTTCTCTTTAACTAAAATGTGTGTGTTTGCTAATCGAGCAAAAGGAGAAGTTTAAACGCAGGGCCTGCTTTCAGCTAATCACCTCAAAGTGGCCAAATATCGGCCAGATATTAGTGCGTGTGGCAGATATATCGGTCTACTGTTAATAGATCAAAATGTGTGCGTGCGCGTGCATGTGTGCGTGTGTGTGTGCGCGTGCGTGTGCGTGTGTGTGTGTGCGTGTGCGTTGCGTGCGTGTGTGCAGGTGGTGGTCCAGGGCATCCCTGAAGTGGCGCGTGCCGTCATTCACATTGATGAACAGAGCAGCAAACAGAAGTTCAAACTGCTGGTGGAGGGAGATAATCTCAGGGCTGTCATGGCAACACACGGCGTCAACGGCAACAGAACAACATCTAACAACACGTATGAGGTAGCGACAGTCAGAGATACACACACACTGATCAAGCTGTTCACTTTCCTCAATGTTCCTTCTGCAAACGGCAGTGTTTTTGCTTTTAAATGCAGGAATTACACCGCCCTGCATCATATCTGCTGAATGAAATATAAGACTTGTTTCTTACTCATTTACAGCCACTTACAACCTTAATGGTCCTTAATGCAAAAATATTTTATTACTAATTTCCCTAATGTGCGAAAATAAATGTTATTTTCCTAGATGTAGAAATGTGAGATTCACCCTTCAATTTGGTAGTTTTTAGCAGCGCAAATTGAGATTTTTCAAATTTTTTTATTATTTATATTATTATTAATTTCTTATTACATTTTTATATATATATATATTTTTTATTTTATTTTTTATTTTAATTATTTTAAATGTGAGATTCACCCTTCAATTTGGTAGTTTTTAGCAGCGCAAATTGAGATTTTTCACATTTTTTTATTATTTATATTATTATTAATTTCTTATTACATTTTTATATATATATATATTTTTTATTTTATTTTTTATTTTAATGTTTTTTATTTATTTACTTTTTTTTTTTTTATATCTACTGAATGAAATATAAGACTCGTTTCTTACTCATTTACAGCCACTTACAACCTTTTGTAAGGGGAAGAAGCCTTCATTTATCCCTTAATCGACAGACACGTGAATCCTGTCTGAATCTGAGCCACACTACAACGATTTGTTCAAGTCTCAGCCCATTTTCACACATGTGACTTTATTTTTAGGGTTGCAAAGTGGTGGAACATTTCCGGTAAATATCTGGAAACTTTTTGGGAAACTTTCAGATAGTTTTGGAAATTTGTGTAAAGTTTCTAGAAATCTTCCGACCCTTTGCAACCATAATTATTTTATGCCTAATGTTGACTTCAAGGTTAGAAAATGCAATCAGGATCCAGATGTTTTCTGCTTCATCTGTGGATGTTTTACTGCTTCCAAACAGTGGCAGATTTTGTGAAGAAGCTTATTTATTTATAAACTCACATTTATGTAATGTTCTTTGAGATTAAATGAAGTATTTGAACAGATTTTGAAAAGTTAAATGATATATTTTAAATACTTCTTTTGTCATTAAAACCCAAACTTTTTACATTTGACTGCTTTTGTTGTTTTGACAAGTGCATTAAAGCTGATACATTCATTCTTATTTTGTAAAAACTGTACATGATGAAAAATTATTATTGATATTTTTGAACTCTGCATCATCAAATTAGGTAATATTAGGCGTAATATTTTTTGAAAATTAGAAGCTTTTTCAGCTTTACAATAACCAAATATTTTTTTTAATAAATAAACTGGATGTCAGCTGTCCTCTACAAACTCATTGCTCTCTTGCCTTGTTCTGCAGGTGTCTCTGAGTGCATTATAATGGGAATCCCCATGAACATCGGCACTGGACTCTTTAAACTCTTACACAGCGCCACGAAGAAGCCCAATCCCCCGCGCAGGCCTTTGCTCTTTGACAGTCCTGATTTCCACATCCCTCTGGCCTTATAAACCGCCGCCGTGTCCGGATGGCTGTGACGTCGAGCGTAATGAGCGTTTGCTGTGGGATTTTAAGTTTAACACCGTCTTTCCCATTTGAAACGGTGGGAATGAGCTGCAGGAATGATGATCTGATGAATGAATCCGCATAAGACTGAAATCACTGATGATTTTTATTATCTTGATGATAATAGACCTTTATGTTGGGATTCCTGCAAATGTCCAGCCCTGTTATTTTCTCATTTGAGATTATATTTTTTACTTGTTAAAGGTTAAATGATGGAGTTTAATTGAGGCAGTTGTATTTATAGATTAGTAATCAAATCTAATGTATGCAACCGAAGGCACACGTGTGATTTTGTTTTCATTTTCTTTGTGCTGCTGCTGTGTTTGCTGAAGACAGGCATGGCTGATGTCCATGTTTTATGTAAATATGTATCAGGTGTGAATAAAATGTACATTACGAAGACACCAGCGGCACATTGCTTCACGTTATTTATTTTTTTGCGCATTATTAAAACTGTCAGACACTGTGAATGCGTTTGAGACCATGCACATCACATGCTTTTACACATCAAGCCGCTGAGATTCGTTGCAAAAACAGACGCAAGGCTTGCTTGCAAATGTGGCGCTCCATCGTGTGATTTTCTCTGTTCCACGCTCTCAGTTAAAATGCACATGTAATCGAGCGTGCATGTTACAAACACACTGATAAAGACAAAGTCACCACCTTTAACAAGCACATTTTCACCCTGTAGAGGAACTGGTTAGTTCATTGTCATCAGCATGAATAATTTAACAGTCCCAGCTGTTCATCACAACTCTGCCAGAGGAGTATTTACATTATCCAAGACTTTCAAAAAGAAAGAAATGGTGCTAACACTTTACTTGAAGCTTTTATATATAACGCATTATAAAAATATTTTGAGTGGATTAATTATGCCTTGTAATGCACCTTATAATGCAATGTACGATATCACGAATAATTGTGACCACAGTTATAATGCTCATCTTATTCATTGTTACATCTTTAGAAAGTATAATGCAATAAAACACAACAATTTTTGATGTAACAAGGAATATGCAAATATTATAATGCATTTTAACTTTGGTTACAGTTATGTATTATAATGTATATAATGATATGCATCAAGTAAAGTGTTACTGAAATAGTTTATAGAAAAATGTTATTTGCCAATCCTAATTTTGAGGTGTTTGGAGAAGTGCACGCTGAGGTTGGGCCGCTGAACGGCGCCGCTCTGCTGGACGGGACGCCGCAGGTACGCATGAAGAGTGGCCACGCAGTTCTTCTTGAAGTTCTCGTTCATGAAGGCGTAGATGATGGGGTTGTTGAAGGAGTTGGAGAAGCCGATGGCCTGCACCACAGCGATGATCATGTTCACCGTGACCTCGTCATAGTTCTTCTCCAGCTCGTCTGCATGAAAAATAGACAGATATTTTGATAAATTAGAACTGAAGGTTTATTCCTTATTCGTTTTAATGTCAGGTATATGGATGGCTCATATTTACAGTTAATTAACAAAAAAGGAGATCATATGGGTTAGTTGAAATCATTTGGGAAGGGAATGTGTTTACAGGATGGTTTAACGTTTGAAAATTAAAAAATTAAGACAGCCATAAATATTAGAATTGTAATTTCACTATTATGTAAAATAAAATATTATAAATATATTTATAAATATTATTACATTTTCTTTAGATATTATTTTACAAATATTATAATAGTAATTTTTTCCGTTTTGATTTAGCAATTAATTATATATAATTATTATATTTTAGTATAATAATAAATTATTATTGCTCCTAAATAAAAGCCCTACATTATTATTACTATTGAAAAAAAAAAATATATATTATTTATGTCATATGAATGAAATAATAATCAAGTCATTAATTATTATTTTTTATTATTATTGTATAGTATAGTTATATTGATAAAATTGTGCAGCCCTACAAACCAGCACAGCAAACCTGAAATTTTATTTTTGCACTTTCAATCAAAATTTTATTTCGGAAAAATCTGAAAATTTAAAACAATTGTGCAGCCCTACATTATTATTACTTTTTGCTAAATAAAAAAATTATATTATTATTTAATAGACATATTATTGATATATAATCAAGTCATTAATTACTTTTTTATTATTAATAATATTATTGTATAGTTATGTTGATAAAATTTTGCAGCCCTACAAACCAGCACAGCAAACCTGGAATTTTATTTGTACAATTTCAGTCAAAATTTTATTTCAGAAAAATTTGAAAAAAAAAAAAAATTTGTGCAGCCCTACATTTAGACTAGCTTATTTAAGTGTTATTGCATATTTTAAATGTTTATTCACAGTGTTGAGTGCTAATGAGTCTCCAAATGATGTAGTAATGGATACTGTGTCCTAACCAGACATAATGTGATAAAAGCTTAATGTAGATCTAGAGCAGCCAGTCACAGCAATCAACAGGCCTACGTGTCGCTGCGCCTGGTTTAGGACACAGTACTAGTTACCCAGAACAGAAACTGTAATATTTGCAGGGATATCTGAACTTACAGTATAGTGCTGTTGTGCTCGAGTAGCGAGAGGCAATCAAATAAAGCAGAAGCGTTGTGTGCGGTGGGTGCTACTAGTCTAATAATTAATCATCTGGGTTGTTAACTGTGATTGTGGGTTCAGCCTCAAATATAAGTGACCACATAACCACATAACCACAGCTTACTGTAATTACACGACCTGTCATGATGAATAAATGTGCCTACTGTGATTCAGCTCATTCACACCGAGCTGCTGTGATCTCTATTCAGTCTTAACACGTCATGTGACGCCTACTGCAGGAGTAAATGCACCGTTGCACACTTACTGTACTCGAACAGCATGTGCACGATATGAAACGGAGCCCAGCAGATGGTGAACAGCAGGACGATAGTGATCATCATTTTGACGGCACGTTTCTTCTTCCTGTTTGAACAACAAAATACAGCTGTGGAGGTATGTTTCTGTAACTATACACCGGTTTATTAATACAAAAACTCATTCGCACAATGCGTTTGCTTATGTAGTGTGATGAGTTTCCGAATTAAATATTTTGTATTTTAGTATTTTGAATGCATTAATTATGCCATGTAATGCACCTTATAATGCATTGCACGATCTCATGAAAAACGGTAACAATAGTTATTCCCATCTATTCATTGTTACACCTTTAGAAAGTATAAAACCCAACAAACAAGTTTCAGATGTAACAAGGAATTAGCAAATATTATAATGCACATCGTGTAATTAATTAGATTAAACATCTGAATCACTTGACAGCCCTAATAAATCATTATTAATAAATAAAAGAATTATTATTTTTATTTTATTGCCATAATTATAATGACAAAATTTTGGACAAATTGTGCAGCCCTACAAACAAGCAAAGAATTATTTTTTTTGTAATTTTATATCAGAAAAATTTCAATTATAGTTTTTTCCCCAAATCGTGCAATTATTTATTAATACAAGGAATCTGCAAATATTATAATGCATTTTAACTTTAGTTTGTTTAGCTTTAGTTATTACTACTTTAATTTTGTTTAGTTAGTTACTTAGTTTATGAAAACATATAATGCATTTCAACATACATTTTGAATACCTATATAATGCATTTTACGTAATGGCTTCAAATGTCATTTTATTCCATATTATTCAGCAAATAAGCTTGATTTTATCCACCGGAATTTGATTGTATGGAAACATGTAATGTTATTGGGTAAAATAAATGAAAGGCATTTTGAATGTGAAGCAAGTTATTTGCATTATATTTTCCTGTTTAATTTGGAAATGCATCACATTACAAAAAACCGTCAAATAGAAAAACTGGGAATTATAGTAAAATGGTTTGGCTGTGAAACATGCATCGTTTTCAGTTGTTTGGACACTTGCCTGGAGATTTTGTTGATCTCTCTGTGGTTCATGGTGCTGAGGACGGAAGAGTCTCCCACGCGTTTCCGGATCCAGAGCTCGATGCCGATGCGGCTGTAGAGGAAGAGCATGGCGGCCAGCGGCAGCAGGAACAGCGCCACCATGATGAAGGTGGTGTAAACCTGACGGTGCAGCAGCGAGTGCCAGCGCTCCTGACAGCACACGTGATGATGATCGTACAGGAAGTCATACTTCACCTGAGGAACACAGACAAGAGAGTAAACCTAACTGGTATTCATACAGAGCATGCATGACTTTAAAGGTGCCACAAACTGTTTATTTTAGAGTAGGGATGGGTGATAAAACTATATGTGACTCTGCAGCACAAAACCAGTCATAAGGGTTCATCTGAAAGCTGAATAAATAAGCTTTCCATTGATGTATGGTTTGTTAGGATAGGACAATATTTGGCTGAGATACAACTATTTGAAAATCTGGAATCTGAGGGTGCAAAAAAAATCTAAATATTGAGAAAATCATCTTTAAAGTTGTTCAAATGAAGTTCTTAGCAATGCATATTACTAATCAAAAATTAAGTTTTGATATATTTACGGTAGGAAATTTACAAAATATCTTCATGGAACATGATCTTTACTTAATATCCTAATGATTTTTGTCATAAAAGAAAAATCAATAATTTTGACCCATACAATGTATTGTTGGCTATTGCTAGAAATATACCCCAGCGACTTAACACTGCTTTTGTGCTCCAGGGTCACATATCACGATATTTTCTGGTATTTATTGCAATAACGAAATCAATGACGATAATTCATATGCATCCACTGAGAGACAAAAAACTCCTGTTTCTTTAGAGAGAAGTATTATCTTTCCTATTTTTACCAAAAATAGGGTGTTGTTGTGAGCACACAGGTAATGTAATGGCCGTTTCATTCATACTGGAAGCCAGAGGGCGCCCTCGTGCAGAAACTCCACTAATATGGACAAAGACATCCAGCTATGGTTGTAGCCGAGTAAAAAGATGATAGAAACGCTTACACTGATGAAACATGAAGACAATAAACACACGATTGTGACAATATATGGTTTATAAACCAGGTTTGTAAACAGGCTCATACACATGCAAAAAAATAAAAATAAAATTCATTGCACAGAATGATTTTTTTTGTCGCACTGTACAGCCCTGACCATATCTTTTATCTTTTCATAAGACTTTTTAAACTTCCGGCTAAAATACGAGTCCATAATCCATAATAACGCTTCCTCCAGTGAAAAAGTGCATCTGCAGAGCATCCATTGCTGAGACACTGATGCAATGCTACATTTCTACAAACCTGATGAAGAAACAAACTCATCCTAATCTGGGATGGCCTGAGGGTGAGCACGTTTTCAGCACATTTAAATTTTTGGGTGAACTATTGCTTTAAATTCAAATCTAGAATTTGTGTGCATATTCATCTAATTTATCATGCAACACTATTCTGGGACTACTGATATGACACTTGATGTTGTTTTTGTAACTTTCCAAACTTGACAGACGTCATTAGATGGAAAAATCAGCGTAAAGTTCTTCAGAAGTGACACAAGGGTGAGTAATGACTCGTTTGATGAACTCAAATAAATCAATGAGTAACACACAAACTTTTGCAATAAGACTCTCAGAATTGAACCGCACTCCAGTGAATCTTTTCTACTGTCACCTGATTCGTCAGACTGATGTGGCATCAGCGTCTCTGATCTGCTGACGGCCAAGCGTGACTAAATTATCTTTTTCACATGTCAAAGCAATTAACCTTGCACTTGTTAAATACTATCGGTTTACTGTGACTGTAATTAAACACTCAATCTGTTCTCAATATCTTCTGTGATATCACTCGCCTCTAGCTGTTGCACGAACAGCATCGGTGATCCGACCATGACAGCAGCGATCCACACCAGCCCTGTATAGATGTATACAAATCAGATCAGCGTGACGTCCAGCAAGTGCAAGACCAGCATTTGTGGTTAAAAAGTATATAAAGTTTTATTTTTTTTAGAAAATGAGCGATGGTTTCTCTAGATAAGAGTCTTATTCCTCGGCTGGGATCGTGTAGAGCTCTTTGAAGCTGCACTTTGAACCTTCAACCCGTTGAACACCATTGAAGTCCATTATATGGAGAAAAATCCTGGAAGGTTTTCCTCAAAAACCTTCATTTCTTTGCGACTGAAGACAGAAAGACACGAACATCTTGGATGACATGATGGGAGAGTAAATTTTTTTTCTGGAAGTGAACTAATCCTTTAAATAGCTTTTTGTTTATTGTTATTTATTCTGTTTACACTATGATTGCCTTGCTGCTGACGTGGTGTTAAATAAATTCATTAAATAAAATGATGGCTGATATTTATGATACAGTTTAATGATAGTAAATTCAATTAAATGAGCTTGTATTTCACACAATATTTGCTCAAAATCCCTAAAGAAATTTAAAACAGGACATGTTTATTATGAATTATTATGAATCGGTCAAGTAGGAACAAGTATTGGTACAGTTTTTAATATTGAGATACTGTTATTTTCTATTTAATGTATAAAATTTCAATTTTTTATTATATTTAAAAAAAAAATTATTTTCCGTTTTCATTTTAATGTGTGCTTATGTCATTTTTTATTAATTATTGTGTTTTTGTTATTTTATATTGTATTTTTAAATATGTCTATATAGTTTTTTTTCAGTGGTAACACTTCAGATTAACACACATTCACTATTAACTAAGAGTTTTCCCTCAATAAACTCCTAATTTGCTGCTTATTAATAGTGAGGTAGTTGTTAAGTTTAGGTATTGGGCCGGGTTAAGGGATGTAGAACATGGTCATGCAGAATAAGGCTTTGATATGTGCCTAATAAGTACTAATAAACAGCCAAAATGCTAGTAATATGCATGCTAATAAGCAACTAGTTAATAATGAGAATTGGACCTTAAAGTGTTAACTTTTCAGTTTTAGTCTGTTTTTTTTTTTTAGTTCTTTTTTATAGTTTCATTTTAATTTTAGTCAAAGATTTAGTAATTTTGTGTCTTTTTGTCATTTTTAGAAGTTTTTTTATTTTCATGTCTATTTCTTTTTTTTCTTCTTTTTTTTTTGTATAGTAGTAGTTTAAGTTATATGAAATGGAAATGCATATATATATAATTTATTACCCTGTCCGTTAATAAAATATCACAATTTATTATATAGACTAACTGACTGCATTTGTGGATTAGGTTTCGTTTGCTTTGATAACACTAACAGAGAGTCATATATCGTTTGAATTTGCAGCACAACCAGCCGCCAAAGTGATTTACTGCACAAAAACGTTTGTCCAGAGGGAAGGAGAGCAGCACAAACCCCTGAATTACTGAGGATTAAAGGTGCGTCACTGGACATCGTGCTCCATTCATGTCCATTCACACCTGTACTAACGCATGAGAGCAGAAACTCAAGCACACGGTGAAGGTTTGTTTTTCTCTGCATACTAAAAGTCAGGTTTGATGACCTCTGAACTCCTGGCTCCAGACAGAGAATACAAACTTCAGCACTGCATGATTTACAGTTTTATGGGAAATTTTAGCATGCTTATGTGACCTGCACTCTCATTGGTTGTGGATCATTTGTTGCTTTGCATGAAATCAGACTTGCCAAAGTGTGCTGTGTCGCTCATAACAGTGACAACGTGTGTTTCCATACAGGTGTGTATATATTTGTCTAATGACTTCTCGCTGTAATATTAAACGGTGCATTTGCATTTCAAAATCAGTGTTTTAATGCAGTGATGATAAACATAAAAATGAGAGACGTTTGCCGTGTATTTGCTCCACACTTCTCATAATCCTACTTTAGATTCAGACCTGGAGCGTCTCTTTAATTAAACCCCACAGGAAAACTGTCCGATGGTATTACCATGGGTTTTTTAAACATACAGTGGTACTGACTGATTACCATGTTTGTAAATCATTACCAAAGTACTTAACATGATACCATGGTGCTATCTGACATGCCACAAAAAAAATTTATTATAATAGTAGGGTACAACGGGGCTAAAAATGTGCCATTCACTGTGCCTAAAATGTATAATTGCAGAAAAAATATATACGTTGTATTGAACATTAATGGAGCAACAGATTTTGTGTGAAAATAAATCATTCAAGTTTTTTTTGTTTAAAAATCTTATAAATGTATGAGGTGGCAAGAGGGGCCTTTTACCCCACACACGGTATTGATACAAATACTAAAGCTAAAATAATGTTGTTTTTTTTTAAAATAATGTCTAAGTTAATACTTGTTCAAAATGATCACTTTAGCAAAGTTTGTACTTTTTTCTGCTTATTTTGAAAAATAAAAGAATACATTTTTTTTTCAATAAATATACTGTCATTCAAATATATTAATATAAAAAAATATATTTTAAAATTCAGAAGCAAAATCGTTTTAATAAGTAAAGATTCTGAAAGTATTGAAGGAGATCCAATAATAATTGAATATATATTTGCAGTAGTAACAACAAATGATATTTTATTATATGATATGATTAATATCATGTTTTTAAATATGATGGTTTCATTCTAAACATGGTGATTATCTCTAATATGGACACCCAAAATAATATATGATATTTACCATCTGAATCTAACCATGTCATGTCAACAAATGGAAAAGTCAGCCATCTATTAATTATCATGTTAATTACTGTGCGCCTTTAGCCCCCACAGCAGGGGGCACTTTATACCCCAAATACCATACTTTTACATATTCTTTCGTTAGCCAGTCCTGTGCTTCTCCATCAGCCGCTGGAACAGAGACTCCGATCGGACAAACTCTGCGTCCAGATCCCGTGAAGCCATGACTGCCTGTGTGTGTTTACACTGGTTACTAAGCAACAGCAGAACTGGACAGTCCTGCACCCTTCGGAAGCTCTCTTTTAAGGGAACAGTGCTTAGGAAGCACTTCTCAGTCGAACGCACCGATGCATGTATATAGACAGTACATTTTTGGGTGAACTATCCCTTTAACTCTGGGTGAATTTTCACACATTGGAGGATTTGACAAAGAGACCTAATACAGGACAACAGATCGAGAGCGTTTTGTATATATGATATTTACCATCTGAGTCTAACCATGTCATGTCAACAAATGGAAAAGTCAGCCATCTATTAATTATCATGTTAATAACTGAGCCTTTAGCCCCAACAGCAGGGGCGCTTTTTACCCCAAATACCGTACTTTTACATATTCTTTCGTTATTTAAAAACTGTTGCTTTAATTATCTTAAACAAAACTGAAAATCATAAAGAAGACCTTTGTCTCAAAATATATGCATTAATTTTAGCGATTCTCGTTTGCTACTTAAATATACAACAT